GGAAAGGGTTTAGTCTGACTATAAAATTGCATTTTCTGTTTAAATACAGGCCAAGGACCCCATGCTAGCTGTAGACTTACCGATTCTTTCTTCCATTTGCAGCTGGCATAGGAATCACCAAAAAAAGTAACTACAGAAAGCAGCAAGCAAAAGCTGCTTGTTCAAAGGGAAAGTTAAGTTGCAAAATTGAAAAGTTTCATAATCACACAAGTATCTTGGTAGCAGAAGAGACTCATACAAGAAGAAAATGTATTGTCCCTAAAACAATGTTGGCAATTATATACAAACTATAGAGGAGCTCTGCACAATGCAGGTGTGCCCCTGCTAACTTTTCCAGCAATGTGATGGTTGGCCTTCGTGGCACAAGTGCACACTGAAAAAAAGAAAAAAAGAAAAAAAGAAAAAAAGAAAAAAAGAAAAAAAGAAAAAATAAATAAGCCCAGAGAAGGCTATAAAATATAAAACTTGCTGATAAGAGCTCAGTGCAAGGAAGCATGGTCAGCATGCCCACACTCTCCTGCATAAATATTTTAAGTGTTAATAAAACAGTAATGAAGAGATAAAGACACTAAAAAGTATATTTTACATCCCCTTTCCACCCACTTCTTTTAACAGTGGACAGACAGGAGGAGAGCAATGGCAGCTCCTGCCCAAATAATTTCATCAATCCAAACATGATCAATCTTACAGCAGACAAGAGGAACAAGAACGAGCCACCATCTGTGGTGTCTTCTGGGTGGTAGCACAACGAGCATTTTCTGAGTGAGCTGACACTCATGTCAGAGACAAGAGATGCATGATGGTTTTAAGAAACTTTTGTATCATTCTAAATTTGTCTTTTATAATCTATATTGAAAGATACATTGATGCCAGGAGTAGCAAGCTGCTTTTTTGTGAAAGATGCTAACAACATACCTTCACAGTGGCTGTCATCATGGTGTGTTACACGCCTTTGAAACTACAATTCACTGCCAGTAATGTGATACCTGAATTTAATTCAGAGCTCTTTGCACTTCCTGTTACTTGGAAGATATTAAAGATCCTCCCCAAATGTGCATTGTGCTGAAAGCTGCTAAGAAAGGTCCACACACACTGAGGAAACCTGGAATACTGTTTTGGAGATACTAATTTTTTGAAGCAAAAGTTTACCATGGTTGAGGCAGTAAGAGTAAATAGTCACTTGATACACAAGCATCAGTCTCCCTTTCAGAAGACAGATCCAATACATTAATTGCTAAAGTGTCATCAAATATCTGACAGATCAGACCCAAATGGTGTGGTGTGCTTACACCAGACGGCAATCTGAGTCTCAAAAGTAAAGTTACAGACTTCTTTGCTGTAAGGTTTCCAAATGGGCATGTTGTGCATGTTATTTATGGACATCTGCCCAGACCTTCAGATGAACAACTCAAGAGATGTGAGCTTCCACCTCAAACTCAGTAACAACATCTCAGTTCTCCAGTTTAACTGTTGAATTACTGATTCTGCAAACAGCCAAAAGAGTGAGAAAAGCCAACAGGGAACTAGAAGTTACTAAAATGGTGGAAAATTAAAAATAAAAAGGCAGAGGGAAGGAGAGTCTAGTAAAGGACAAGAAAGACATGGAACACACAGAGTAGTGAAGGAAAGGGACACTGAAGAGAGAAAAGAAACCGCAAAACTCCTCTCAACCTGAGAGACCCAGAAGTAAAAGCCGAGCCACCCTCCAAGCCCACTGGCTCGTTCAATCCTTCTCTTTGTCCTGTCCCAAAGCTTCAGACTGGTCACTGGTCAGGGAACAAGGCTGTGCTGTGGCGGCACCTCCAGCACCTGCACTCCTGCTCTGCTGTCCCCTCAGTTACAACAGGGATTTGGCTTTTCCTGCCTCCTGTTTCCATAGCAAACAATCCTGCCAGAGCCCCCTCATTGCACCCAGGGCCCCACAAAGCACCCCAAAGAGAGCCCTTGCTGATGGCTCAGGACTCGGGCAGCCCTCCCTCCTTCCTTGGGGGGAAACGTGAGGCAGCGCTGTCAGCACAGACCCAAAAAGACAACAACCACATCAGCCCCAGCACAAGACATACATAGTTTAACTTTACCACACGGAGTTTAACTTTACCAACCTTACCTGTGTCCTCCACAGCCCTTAGCCAGGCACCCACGCTCCACAGCAGCAGAGAAAAGGCATGAAACACGGTATTTACCTCCCCTTTTTGCTGCTGCTGGCTTCTCCCCGCGCTCCATGAGGTGTTTGTTCCCTGTTACCTGCCCAGCCCCACAGCTGCTGCCCCTCAGGACTGGCTCCCAGCACCCGCATTGCTCCACAAAACTTTCCTCCAGCCTTAGTCATCAACTAATACCTCAGACTTCAGCATACACTGTCATGTACGTGGCTGTGCTTTGACACCAGTGGCATCACACAACCCCCGTTTTTGCTGCGGCCAGGACAAGCTGCTGCTTTGTAATGAGCAGTAACACCACTGGTCTGGTTTGGCATCCAGGTGGGGTTAGGGCAGGGGCATGCAGAGGGTGGGTGCCTCCAGCCATGCCTTAGGCTTGGTTCTCATGTCCATACACAGCACTGCCTGGGAATATTCACTGCCCTGGCCGGGCGTGTGAGCTGGTTCTCAGCAGGCTAAAGGAGATTAATCTGCTCTCTGGGGCAGTAGGTGTCTGCTGGTATCTGCTGGCTACAGCCCACCTACAGATGAAGAGCTGGACCCGGAGATGGGCCAGGTGTCGCTCTGTCTGAAATGTCCTGTTCATTTAACCTGCTCAGAGCTACTGCTGCGGCCAGGAGTGCCCGGAGGCTCACATACAGCCGGAGCAGAGCCTGCTCCTTTAACCATGCAAAACACAGCAGTTCTGTGAGTGGGGCTTCCCTGCACATCCTCCATTCAAAGGGAGAGGGGAAGCCCGTTTTAAAAACTAGGACAAAGGCCAGTAAATTACCACAAAATTATTTAAACAAGGAACACCAGAAAGCCAGCTTTGTGAATATAAAGCTTATATGAGCTTCTGTAAGCTGAGGTGAAATAAACATGTTTTTCCTCCCAAATATGATTATCAGCTGGAGGCAGCAACCCTCCATCAATAAGAAAATTCCAAGAACTTTGCAGAACTAGGAAGAAGCAAAAGCAATGATTAACACACCTTTCTGCACTATTTTATGTCTGACACCAAAAGAAACGTGTTTGTCTGACCTGTAGTGTATTTATACATCCACATCTTATGGCTTGCTCTGTCCATTACTTCACCAGCAAAAGGTGTTTCGGATTTGCCTGGCATTAAGTGGCCAGACAGAATGCATCAGTCTAGAAATGGATTATTAAATTCCACTGTCAAACTGAAGTAGTGAATAAATACAGTGGAATTAAAGTCCTTCAATTATATCATGCTTTATGTGTACTGTTAAAAAGTTCCCATACAGTATGGTTTCAGGCCTGTTTCGATTTCTTCCTTGCCTAACCCTTCACTTTCTTCTGTCAGGCCTTGTCCTACCTCAGTGTGTAGCATTGCCAGCTACTGAGTTGCTTACATCTTTTTGGGAACCGTCCCTACTCAGCAAAGTGAGCCAAATCACCACATATGGATTCTAAACTCCAGGACTTCAAACCACTCACGCAGTTGAAGGATCACAAAGCAACTCCATTTCTTCTAGGCAGAAAAGGATGTGCTTCCAAGCTGATGGGAGAACTCTCTCTTCCCCTTCAAAATGCAAAGGAAAATTCAGTAGAATGCCATTAAAGCCTTAGGATGTAAACCTGTGACAGCCCCACCCTCTCACCTGCCTACTCAACAGCAATGCTAAAAGGATTATCCTCAACTCATCTTCAGTCCAATCAACCATTTGTTTTTAAAACTACATTGTTGCTGCCTACCAGCACAGCCCATGCTAAATTTGTACCAATAGAGATTCCACTGTTACCCACGTGGGACATCATCAGTAACTTGGATCAAACCAAGCATATGCTAGCCACAAAGGACCAGAAAATGGGGTACCCTTTTTAAGAATTATAAGACAGGCAGGGATTTTTATAGTTGCTGTTACTGGTTTTGTTGACTTCTGATGAGAGTTACCAGACAACATATGTTCTTCTGAGTTAGAACCCCTTCAACACCAGAAAACTATTTGTGGGTCCTATTACAGCAGGATTATTTTATTCTCAAAGAAATTTTAAGCCTTCAGTAAGGAGTTGCGAACTTGTATTTGTTTTTTTGGACAGTTTTAATTTTGTTCATCTCCTCACTTACCCTGACCAGGATTAAACTGGATTAACAGAATGGGCATGCTTTGGTCCTGTCTCAGACTGCATTCAGCTTAAGTTTAAATCTTATATTCAATGTACCAGGATTTTTCAAAAATGCTCTTACTGGCAAAGCACTGTATGGTTCTTAGCAACACATCATATAAAATATTTAATTCTCCACACTTGCTCCAAAACTGTATGCAAAAATAAAAAATGCAAAAAAAAAATCAAACAATGTATAAGGGTGATTGTTTTTTTTCAGGTCCCAGTAGCACCAGAGGCTGAGAAATCTTGCATTTAAACTAGATAAAGCAATGCCCTCTAGTGTTCTGTGGGGAAATCTCATACAAGATTGCCGAAAGCCTTAAAAAACTCACGTACCATCTCTAGTGACAGTCAATGTTTTAAAAGCTTACAGCTCACATGCAGCATCCTTGGGATTTTCTGCATATGACTGTGGCCTGCAGAACTATTTGGTATCCACTCTTTTCCTTCTCTCTGCTGCTGATACTTATCATAATTTCCATCTGTGGACAGTCTTCCACCTGGGACATGTGTCAAATCACATCATACCACGCTGCACCTTCCCCAGCTACACACAGCATTTGGTACCCTGTGCTACTGACCCATCACACAAGCAGGATGTAATTTTTGGCTTTCTTACAGAACTCCAAAGTTCAGCAGAATTCTTTAGGGTAGCAGCTGTCCCAAGATACTGATAAAGTGCCAAGAGAACTATCCAAATTCAAGAAAGACTCAAACAAAGCATTCTCATAGTTCAAAAAAACACCTGCAGAGCTATCAAAATATTTATTTACATCCTGTACACATTACAAAATTCAACTTTGCATTCCAAAAGGACTGGAAGAGATTTTATAACTGGAGGACTGAAAAGCAAAAGGTAAAGTCCTTGAAGGAGTGCTCTTAAATGGGCAGCTAGGAGTCCTTAAATTTTACCATTCATTCTCTGAAAGACAACTGCTGGGCTCTCACCAGACAGATTAAAGCTTGAATGACTTTGATTAAACTTTTAATCACATCAAATACTTTTAAAGTAATTAACAATAAAAAAGAATCGTGTTAGCTGTGCTTTTGTTATTTTACATGACATTGATCTGCTGCAGATGGAAACCACAGATCAAAAGGGAAGAAAAGAAAAAGAGATTGGGAGGAAATACCACTTTTGCTCATTTTCCCTCTAAAATAAGGGAAAGAAAGATGAAACTGACTATTTTCTGGCAACCTAAGGAAGGGGACTGGAACACTTAGAAAACTGCCAATACAAAGCATCAGTCACAAATGCCCTAAGCCCTATGTGATTATGCAGGCATTTGAGGGGGCAGCAACACACTACTGTCAGGTGAAAGAAAGATATTGTATTATGGTTGGACACAAGGTCTTTTCCAAACTCAACGATTCTTTGATTCATTTGAGTTGCTGTCTGGAATTTGTTTCTTGTGTGAACAATTGAAGACATTTAAAGTGGGCCTATTAACACTGATTCACACTCCTGTTGGGACATTCAGTGGAGCAAGGTTAATTACAGCTGTGGTTTCTTCAGAGGGAAGCTAGCTTGACCTCTTTGTTAGGTAAAAACAGAGGCTGAGCTCCTCAGACCAGGCATCACCCTGCAAACTCCATAGCAATTTATTCATAAAAACATCAGAAATCTCTTTAAAAAGTTTTGTTCATAAAAGTCAAGTTCTCCAAAGAAAAGCCTGCCAGAATGACCATGTGAAAGTATAAAGGAAACATCCAGTGAGATCATATACCTAGAGAAAATTCTGGACTTGATGTGGCACTTGGAATGAACCTTTTAGGGATCTATATTCACAGCCTTTGTGTCTGAGGCTGCAATTCAGAATTTGGATGTAGAAGTGGGATCAAATTAGACATTTTTAAAATTAGGTTTGAGCTAGGAAACTCCACTTCAAAATTTAAACTGCATTCTCCTCAGAGGGCAACCAATACATATTCTAATTAAACAAGCAGATACTATTTTTTTTTTCTCTAATGAGGGGTAGTTACTGCCATGCATTCTGGCCTGAAAAGAAATTATTTTTGATCTTGTTATACATGTAACCAAATTAAGGGAGAAAAGAAACCAGTTTAGAGACCATCCAAAAGACAGCCAAGGGAGGATATTCAGTGTTCATACGACTGCACTAGGAACTCATATTTCTTAAAGGTTTAACACAATACATCTGTGTTACTGAGTGAGTGTATGCACAAAACACTATCTTGGAGAAACTGCTTGTATGTATATGTTAAAAACTACCTCTCAGGATGAGATTCCTCTCTGTCATACTGTCATTCTGTTTGCAGGGTATAGAGTGTGAGGAAAGGACCATTCAAAATACAAAAAAAGCAATGGAAGGATATGGAGAAAACAGACATTATCTTGAGAACCCAGTTTCCAGCCTGACTGGACAAAACAGCTTTTCCAGTTCCTTCAGTTTATTCAACGGTCCAGAGCCTTTCAGACACATTCTCACCTCCTCTGGGAAGAAGCAGAACAACTTGAAGGAGAATGGAGGAAAATGCTCCAACACCCATCACAGAGAGGCCACACAAACACATGCTGTCATTTCCTGACAACATGCATGTTGCTCTGCAGGGCTGGGAGCATTCATCAGTGCTTCACTAGGCAAAGATGCCAAGAGTGTCCAGGTAAGACTAAAACCATTTGAACTGCAAGTAATTTCACTTCACTTCATCAGTGAAGTATAAACTGAGCTTTTCCGCTCTTCACCTTGGCACTCTTCTTGCACAAGTGCTTTGCTATGAGTCTAATGCTGGTGCATTCTCTGTAATTTCTTTCTGTGTCACTATCTGCAGGTACTTCAGCCGCACGGGAGGGAGCTGTTCATAAAGGTCAAATCCCAGAGGACTCTCTGCATTCAGCAGTCTGTAGTACAGCAGGTGCTTTTTCAAGTTCTGAAAGAAGAAACAGAAAGGTATCTAATCTTTTCTACTGTCTCCAACACAACACAGGAAATTGCAAATAGTACAATTCCATCATACCCAAGATACTTAATTACATCATCTTCAATAGAAGAGCTATAAAATACAAGTTTCTTCCAATAAAATTCATTTTTTTCCCATGAGAATTCCTCTTCTAAACACAACTCCATTGTCTCCTCAACAGCCCCTCACAATGACTTCCTACCAGAAAGCAAATTTTTGGGTTTCAATCACTCAAAATCAATGGATTTTTGAATGTCATCTAATAATTTACCCTGGACACAAATCACAGAGGGCCAAATGACCCAGCTCTGTCCCATAAAGGATACATTTTGGCAAGCTCCTTCAGAAAAAAAGAGAAACCTTACATCTGTCCTGTTCTTTTCAGGGGAAGCATCCAACTAAGATGGATCACTGCTGGCCACCTACTCATAACTAACATAATGGTTGTGCTATAATCATTCTTCTAAGATCTCTAGCTATCCAGATATAATGCTGCTGGGACAAGAGGCATGGAAATACAGTACAGGAAATTCATCTAGGTTCCAATAGGCTCAGTGTTTTGAGGTCAATTACTACAAGAACTGCCTAAACATATTTAGAGATATTGCAGGCCAAAATCTTGCTGCTAATCTCCTCTCATTCTCAAATTAGCAAGGTAATTAAATACAAAATTCAAAAGTCAAATGCAAGTCTGTAAGAGCACCATGCATGGAAAACTTAATTCCCTGCAGCACAAGCTGAATCTTACAAATCCTACCTCATCCACCAACAGCCACGTCTTCCGCAGCATGCTTTTCCGAGCAGCGTCTATCTCCTGGGAACAAAACACATACTTTCCTTAATATGGTGAAGTAATACCTTTGCCCAGGGGCATACAACACTCCAGGATGATTTATTCATTATAATGATGAGCAGTTTGTTCCAGCAGAAAGTGCTTGAGATGTCTTACCACTTAAATCCTACTCCTTTCCCTGATCTGAATCTCACCTGACTTCTCAACCTTTAGGTAGAACTGCAGATCAGAGGTGAAGCGTGGTTAGCACAACTATTCACTGACAGAGGCCTCAAGGCCTTAGGGGGGCTTCTGCTTGGTTACTTAAGCAAAGTCAAAGAGTACTTTGCATATTCAGATTGCTAAGGTAGAGGCCAAATCTATTACAAGCTCTCTCTGCCTGATCACCTTCCTTACTCTTTCTGCTCTTCTTCCCTCCACACCACAGAACACTGACCTCAAAGATTTAGGTAGGACTGGCTACCATTAATGCAAGTGCATTAGGGTACAATGAACAAAAGCTGCTGCTTCGTATGTGGATTCTCAAACAGCTAACCAATCCTCAACACATTTGTTTACAATCTTTTTTTTCAGGTCCCAAAGGTCAGTGATTCATCACAAGCCACACTGGACTCACAGGGAGAGCAGATGCAAAACCCAAAGACTGGAGCCCTGAAGCTCTACTATCCATTACCCACCTGTGTTGTGTTTTCTTGGGAGAAAATAAAACTGTTCACGTGAGCCACGGCCACCACGTACAGCACAGGGCACCAGGTGTGGCGCAGCGCACCAGTGACCAGCGTTCGGAAGTAGAGTCGCAGGAGGTTCAGGTTATCCTCAGGAGGGGAAACGTAGCGCTCAAGAGGCACAGGAAACTGCAACAAACCCATCCAGAGGCAACATTACAATTTTTGTCAGGGTCTAAGTAGTGAGAGGAAGTTCATGACTTCTAGGGTGCCCTTCCTTGTGCATGCCCCCCTCTAACACGATGACCCCCATCTGCAGCACAGCTGCTGCAGCCCACCCTGACTGATGTGAGCAGTGTTGCCAAGACCTCTTGAGCTTTATGGAGAGATGTTTTACTGGTCCTGTCACTGCAGCTGATCCTCAGCACAGACAAGATGAGTGCTTATAAAGTAAGAAGACAGAGTATTTTTGACAGCACTGCTAAATTTTATCTCTTGTGCTCTGCTCAGTCAAAAGAAACACAGTCCTACACTTGAGAGACCAAATTTTCTTGCTGTTACTCAGCAGAGCACAACTCCATTATAACTATATGTGGAAAGATGTTTGAGAGGGAAAATGACTTTATCTACACATGGGCAAGGAAAAGGTTCTCACCAAGGTGTGAAAATACTTATTTAAAGGAAAGGTAGCTGCTAGCAGAACGTAGGGTGCAACCAGCCTTTCATACATACAACCTATAAATCAGGAGCTTCTCAATGGTTAAACCAAGCAAGGTTTGAGACAGTTTCCACTGAAGAGTGAGCAATTTCACAGCTCCTGCCCTCCACATATACACACAAATCAAGGTTGGAGAATCACAAGAAATACATAGTGACAGGAAATTACCATAAGCTAGGATTACCTGCTGTAATGGCACTCCCAGCGCCCGCAGGATATTTGTGTGCTCCCCAAAAACAGAGAGACGCAGATGAACACTGAAACGCTTCTGTAGAGGAAGAAGAACAAAGACTCCAAAGAGTGGATCTCCAAAGGAGACGCCCTCAAATTGCTCCAGGAGACTTATATAGAGATCATGGAAGGACGCCAAACCAGGGAGAGGAGCATCCAAGTTCAGGGAGTCCAGGGCCTTGGGTTGGCAATACACAGAGAGAAGGGCAGCTGTATAGCGGTGAATTGGTGCTTCTAGAAAGAGGTCACTGCCAGTGAGGAAGACACACATAAGCCGTGCAAGTTTGGCAGCAGTCGGGATGCTCTGAAGGATTTTAGGACGCCAGGTTTCCAGCAACAAGACCCACTGCAGGTTCCAGGTCACAGTGTTGATGAGATCAAGTGGGAGAGAGTTCAGTACAGCCCCACGTGTCTCTGCATTAGTCACTTTGTTGTAGAGGCTGATAAGTGGAAAGAACGGCCAGTCTGAAGGCAGGATGGGCCCTTTGACCTCAGGAAGCAGCATTGACTGGATGAGGTAATTCCGCCCTTGGTAGAACACCTGAGAACGCGTAAGGGTGGGCTGCAAGAGGACAAAGTGAGAGAGGTAGCAGGAACGAATGGAAGGCAGATTCTGGTATGATTCTCTCAGCAGGGCACCACGAGTAACCTTGGGAAGAAATGCTGCTGCCGAGCCAGGCTGTGCCAGTTTGGCACTGGTACCCAGATGCAGAATATCAGAGAAGTCAGCTGCTTCTGGCCCACCAGCTTTCCCTTCACTGTAAGGTAAAGACAAAAAACAATTTAAGAAACAAAAACCTGAAATATCAAACAAACAACACATCACAAACATTAATCTCTACAGTCTTCTTGGAACAGGAAGAGTAGTATATGCAGAGTATTCAACACTTTCTAAGTCACTGAGCTATTCTAATCCAGTGGGCCTGTAAAGCATCAGCTACATTGGTATTTACAGCAGATTCACAGAACCACCTTTGGAGTCAGCAACACTGAGGCAGTGCCAAAGAAACCCTTCACACAAATGCCAGTCTAGTGGAGCTTTGCAGCTGGCAGTGGCAAGGTCAGGGGAACCACATGGACTGACAGAAACTGTGCATGAGGAGGGTGCTTGTCAAATCCATATGCCACAATCTCAGACCAAAGACTCACCATTTTGTTGACCCAACAAAAAAACCAGAACACCACCACACAAACAAATCCACTAACAAATTTTCCTTCTTTCTGAAATAAATAGTACCTCCTTACAGCACCTTGGCTCAACCTCCTAGAGATACACCATACCTAATTTCAAACAGATTGAGATGAACAAGATAAACTGCTACCATCTTCTTGCCCAGATTTGAGAGGATTCATATTTGAGATGCTCATGATTTCTTCCAGTGTGAAGTGGAAGACATGGCATTTGTCAAATCAACAAACATTTGTGTAAACACTTGATTAATAAAGGTTTGAGGAAGATTCATTGAGCTTTTCAGGCTATGTTAAATTCTCATTTATTTTCTAGACTCCCTACTCTCAAGATGCAAGATGCTAGGCCTTAGGGAGGATCAGTTCTATCAGGAATTACACAAGCCTTGTCACAGAGGAAATCAAAATAAACTGCTCACATTTCTCAACAGCGGTACATCAGAGAAAAATACCATATTACTTGCCTGATTAGAAGGCTTCATGCCTGGAGAATATGCCAATGAGTAAATAAAATTTAACTACCGGCCCTGTTAAAGGCCAACAATTATGACAAAATTTCACTGGCAATGCGCTTTTTCCATTTTCCCCTTGTTTTCCACACACCAGACTAGAGAAAGGAAAAAATGCAAAGCTTACGGAAGAAACTCTGGATTAAAGGCAAGATCCAGTAGGACCTCATGAGCCAGATGCTCACTCCCTGGCAACAGACGGCTTAGCAATGCCATGGCAACACAGTGATGGAGTGAGGCATGCTGGGTGTAATCCGGACAAGTGCCTGCCTGTACAGGAAACAAAACAACAGATAAAAGCACTCTATCATTTGTCAACAAGACAATCAACAAGGATGGGAGGGTCAAACAAGATACAGATCTCTGTGCGAAGTGCATAACTGAGGCAGACTACAAGGGCTGTCAGCATTCATACCAAGAGATATTCTGCTTCCCCTGACTGCCTTAGATTGTCAGATATTTTTTCAGCAACACAGCTGAAAACTTTGTTCTTACTCCATCCCAAAGAAAGGCAAAAATATAATTTTTCCATCCAAAGTATTTTGGAACTAAATCTCCGCATCAGTAATTGGAAAGATGTTATTTGCTAATGGGTCATAAAAGTCAGCAGAAGAGTGGCCAGACGTAAGTCTGAAAGAACAGGGACATGAAGGCCAGCTGCCAGTGAAGTCAGTTTCTTGGGGGAAAGGAATGAAAAGACTAATAATGATACCATTCTCCGAGCCAACGCTAACACAAAGTACTGCAGGTGATATTCATGGCGTAGGATCCACGCAGATGAGGGAGTCACAGAGGGAGGTCCAGTCTGCCAGCTTTGATGCAGATAATCCTTCAAGCCTCTGAAGCCCAGCACAGAGCTGTACTATAAAGGAATCACAAGTGGAGACAAATAATATTAAGATAGTTTGTGTTTGGAGGAAGGCAAAACATAGCCCTCTCCAAGGCCCACCCCCTACCTTCTCCCACATGAGAATTCCTACTGGCTACTTCAAAAGCCATATTTAAGAATAGCCTTATAAATATCTGCTTTTCTTCCTCAGGGCTCATCTGCATCCATCATGACCATCCCCATCATAGATAACCAACAGTCACTGCCTACATTTTCCATAGTGTTCTGTAAGGCAGAAATCTGGCAAGTGGCTTAAAATGTTTTTCCCTCACCTGGCCAGATATTTCCATTCGTAGCCAATCAGCTAATTCAATACACACTTTAATATTTTTAAAATAAAAAATGCACAACAATTTGATTTTAACAGTCCTTGTAACATCTCTTTTATGCCAGGGAAAGTACAAATGCTAACCTCCCTCGCAAGTATATCAACATTCACCTAAAATTTACAGTGAAAATATTTATGCTCACCTTGCTGGTCAGGCCCTTGTGAATGTGAGTGAGGTTATTGATGAGAAATAAGAGGGCAGTGAGAAAGGGGAAAGGTGACTTGGAGCCAAGCAGGCTCAAAGGAGGTTTTCCTCCAGTGCAGCTCAGAGATGCAATGCTGCCGACGGATTCCGGTGCCGAGGAACAGGACAGAGGGTTGCACAAAGCAGAACATGGCCTGTATGAACAAATAAAGAGAGAGGGGTTAGGGCAAAAGCATTCACAGTGCTGAGGCATTGTCTTGCTGAAATGTTGCTCTCTATCTGAACTGTACCACACATTGCAGTAAAATGGAAGCCCTGAAGACAGTGAAAGCAGAAAGCCAATATCTCCACTGGTACGCCAAGCACTACTGCCATACCAGCTAATGCCAGTGAGCTGTCAGGAACTGTTCAGCTAAATTGGTCATGATGAGCAGAAATACTGATGCAGTGACGCAGCTCTGATGTCAAATACTTGAAAGCGTTGGACCTTTGATTTAAAAAAAATACACCGTTCCCCACATACATACGCACAGCAGGCTAATAACGCTGCCCACCCACTCAAGACATTTCAATAAAAAACTTGTAGGCAAAACCAAAAAGCCAGATTATATCTAAAATTGACATTGCAAAAATGTTGCCCTTTACGTACTAATGAAATGCATATTTTTAAATTGCATTCAGAAAGGATATAGCTTTAATAATGCTCATGAACATGACTGTGCAGATCACTCTTGGCGTGTGTGTTCTCTGCAGGTGAAACTACAAACTCCCACACCAGCAGTGCTTGCAGAGTCCAGAGTAGATACATCATGTCTGTATAGGTAAGACCACCACAAAGAAGAGTGACCACAAGCAAGCTGCTCAATGGTCATGAAGTAATGGGGCAAACCCTGCCAAACATCTACACCATTACTCTTGCAGAAAACTAATTGCTTAAATGCATTGCTCTTTCCACTGGTATTACATGTAGGAGATGCATAAACACATGTGGGGCTCATGAAGTACCCTAAACTCCTGGACTTAAAGCTCCCAGAAAGTTTAGACTTGTAAAAATTGTAAAAATATTAAGACAGAGAACAGCTGACTCTCGTTTTTACCAGCCAGTATTAAGAACAGCGAGAATTCTTGCAGAAGAGCTTTTATAGCCTGACCAAATCCTTTGTCTTCAGACCACAAGGACAGGCAGAAAAGGGTCTAATGAGGGCTCTTGTGTTGGAAACTTTGGTGCCAAGAGCTTCAGATAACAGTCTGAGTCATGAAAGAACACGGGCCAAACTGTTTGGTGACCATTCAAATACCACTTGAAAACAGAAATTTCAAGTGCCCTTTTTATCAGATGTTATCAGAGGCAGATGGATGCCTCTCTGACTGCAAGTCAGGTCTTTTATATTCCCTACTCCAGAAGATTAATCACAGCCTAGTAAGGAGTCTCCCTCTACAGCAGAAAGACAGAATATCTGCAGTGCTGAACTGTTCCCAGAGCCAGAGCTTATGTTATCCAAATGTCTAGAAGAACAGTTTGGTATCTGTTCTTGCACTTCTCTGCAGGGGTTTTCAAAGCCCTAGTGAAGCTCTGCAGGAGCTTAAAGATGTGAATCTAGTTAAATTCTTTTACATAAGCAGCACCACACAGAGCACATGAATGGTACATGAACACACACTCACCTCATCATGTAAGAGGGACTCAACTAATGCTACTTGTGCTTTTTCTTTTTAAACCAGTGCAACCAAAGAAGAATGTGAGCCAAGAAAGCCAAGAGTGACTAAAATAATCTGAAATTGATAAGAAAACCCCAGCTAAATGGCAAAGCAGAGATGCAGCTGCACCAGTAGAAAAGGAGGAGCTGCAAAGCTCTGCAGCCATCATGCCTTTTCTGTGAGGGGGAGAGGACAAAGCAGGGTGTAGACACAGCTCTATTGCACGCCAATTCCCATACCTGGGGCATATTGCACAGGGAAAAGAGAGAAGGGAAAAGAGAAAGCTGTCACACAGTACAGTATAGAAATGGGGCTCCCTTAGCTTCTGACAACAGCATCTTAGCAATGGAATGGCTTTACCTGAGCAAATCCCACATGCTATCTATGGCTGGCTGGCTGAGAAGGGGCAGCAGCATCTCCGATGTCAAATGTTCCAGTTCCTCTAAGCAGTCAACTGGATTGACTGATGGCTGTAGAAGACATGGAGAATGACAGGAAAAGAGATGAATGACCATAGCATCCAATGATAGGAAAAAGACAGACTGATTTATTTACTTCCTCTGTGTTTATTATCTTTTTGCCAGACCCCATCACCTACACAGTCGTACTGCTCTAGGTTAGAGCTGGCCTCACTGCTCATAGTGTGGAAGCTGAGAGCTGGCACCTCAAGCTGTTCTCATACTCAACTATTAAAATGCATCCCAGAGATTCTTAATTGGCTGAAAGCAAGCTATGGGATCCTTGGAATCAAGATTCCATAACTGAAAACTTGGCTAAGCCCCACTCCCCCCACCATCTACATGTTTCTGTTTAAATTGAAGATGACACAAAGGTGATCAGAACTACCCTGAGAAATCTGAGTGGGACCATGAGGGTCTCCAAAAAACCAAACCAAACAAAACAAATCAGCTGCATGAAGTGTGATTGACATACCCATCAAAGCATGACTGTGGATGAACACTGCACAGAGGAGGAACTGTGGGTTTTAGAGAATCATTCTAATTCTTCTGACCCTAGTAAGCAATATTCCAGGTTGAAGGAATATGCTGAAAAATTTTAACACTTTTTATCTTCATTAGCATGCAGCTTTGGGATACAGAAATACTCATTTCCATTACAGAAAATCTGGTTTTCCCCCAGGTGAAATCTGCCTCCAGAAATCAGTAAAACCTTTGTGAAGATGTTAACCTTAGTTTTTAATAGTCTAACAGAAATATTCCAAGAAGGTCCCAGTATACACTAATCTAATTACTACACAAGTTGATTTTTTTTTGCACTAACCTATTCAAACATGCTATGCACAATTATTTTTTTTTAATCAGCTAACTAAAGGTAGATAACTGAACTTCTTTTTAAGTGGAAATTCAAAAACCCAGCACAATTAAAGGACTTAAGAAATTGTTTCCTTGGTCACTCTTCTGGGATATCTGTAAAGGTTAAAAAGGAGCATTAACCCCTTGGCTGTCCTGGCTCTCTAATGCTCAGGACATAATCACAGCCTGTGAAAGGTATACCAACCTTCAGGGCCCTGAAGACATCTTTGAGAGATACTGGTAATTTCCACCCCAGCCATAACTAATAAACTCAGTTGCTTTTGGCAAGTTTCAGAGGAGTTGCCCTAGTGTGAATAACTACAGCCATTAAATTACACCCACACCTTCAACACAGCTCTCCCAAGTTGGAACTCAGACATGTCAGTCGGGCAGTAAAGAGGAAAATTGCGTTTATCTTTAGAACATGAATCTTTAAGGCAGCTAAAGTGTAAGACATTATTCTTCAACAGCATCACATTGATATGTCACCTTCAGAAAACCCACTTTAAAAGATGATCACATACTAAAACTGTGTGTTACAGAATTTGACCTTGAATGTCAGTGGGGCAACAAATAAATTTATCTTTATTATTTCCTATCCGAAGTTCACACAGCATGACCCTTAATGCTCAATCTTCTACCCAGATGATTGCAATGTAGGTGTTCACATGTAAGCTCTCTGACCAAAGAAAATGCAAAAATGCATGACTTGATTTATCCCACTAGGAAAAACGACTGACAAGTAAAATTGTATTTGCTTCATGCCTTGGAGCTCTGTAGTAAATCAGAACAATCGCAGCACTACCACACACCTTGACTGACCCCAAAGGATTAAAGGACAAAAAAAGAAGACAGATATTTGGCGCTGCTAACACATAGGGTTAGCAGATTTAAGTGACCCTGAATGTCATGCAGCCTAGATATGAGCTGTGGTAACAAAACCAGTGCTCAGCTAGATGCCATAACTTCTGTCTTTTTCAGTAGTGCCTGTAAGATCCAGTTTTTGGAGGTAAAACACAAGCTGATGCTGGTGAGATGAGAAAACAGCCTGTATATTCAGGCCTTACCTGTTGGCTGTAAGCACTGTAATAAACTCCCAGGAAGATCACACAAGCTGTGGTCAGAGGCTGGAGAGTTTGCCAAGTTTCTGTCTGGGATATCTGCGGAAGGATTTTTTTCAGACTTCTCTCAAGGAAGGGTTGTAAGCCTGACACTTGATTCCATGCTACTGGAGGAGGTGGAATTGGTTCACTATCTTCTGAGTCATTGCTGAAACACAATGGAAGAATGACATAGGATACCAAATAAATGTCAAACAACTGTCTCTCCAAATCATCAATTTTAATAGAAAGATGTAGTCTAGGAAAATATATCCAACAGCATAACTAGGGGGGAAGTCTTTGCATAGTCCTACAACCCAGACCAAATAATTCAGGCAGAAAGGATAAATGTAGATAGAATGTATTTACAAAAGCTGAAATTTCTTCTCCTGCACTACTCTATCCCTGAGCTATGCTCTAGCTTTACCAGAAATGCTACCTCAGTACTCAGCTTTAGTTAAAGAGTTTCTTGCTTTCCAGCAGAAAAAGCACCTGTGTCTGCAGCAAATCCTGCTGCTTTGATATCTATCAAAACCTCTTAATCCTGACTCATCTTGGTTTCTGCAGAGAAGTTCTTTCCTCTAAACCTCAAGACATTTACTTTCTTTACTCCCAAGACAAGTTCAAAGCAGCTTCCTAGATTCTTTCAGCAGGACATTTGGCTGAGAGTGGCCTTTATGCCCCCTAGCTTAATGTCGATTTTGACCCCTGCCTCTGGCCATGCTCTCAGGCATACAGGTGTCAGACCAGACACTACTTCTGATCTTGTGTCAGAGAGAATACACCCCACAATGCAGGGGCTCACATGTAGGAGAATAAACAACTGAAAACGAGGGTGAAAAAAAAGTGACAGCCAGATCTGCAAGATAAAGAAAGGGAAGATGGGATGCCAACTACTGACATGCACAGAATGGTGACTTAGCCTACCTGCTCAACTTGGCCTGCAGCTCTCCTGTGTATCCCGCTGTTTGTGTCACATGTGTCAACAGAGTAACCACTGCTGCAGCTCGCTGCACAGACAACTCAACCACAGGGCTCTCCCCGATGAGCAACTCGGGAAGGGACTGCAGTATCCTCACCAGCACAGGGTAGAGATCACTGTAGTATGAATTACAGAATAGATATGATTAGAAAGGGTCTCTGGAGATCATTTGTACTTCAACTCCCTGTTCAATACAGGCCAGCAAGAGCAAAACTGCACAGGGATATGTCCAGTCAGATTTTGAATACCTTGAAGAATGGAGAGTTCAATATCTTGCTGTGCAACAATGCTCCAGCGTTTGATCACCTTTACAGTAAAGTTAGCAAAGATTACAGTAAAAACACTTTAGTGGAATTTCCTGTATTTCAGATTGGCTCTTTGCTTTCCACTGGAAGACTCTGGCTTTATCTTCTTCAACACTCTCAAATAATTTATTTATAAAGATTGCTAAAATGTGATTATGAGAACCATCACCACCACCACAATAACAAAAATAAACTGACATTAAAAAAAAAGATGACAAAGGAAGACTACGGCTATTCCAATTTGATATGAATGGGACCTACCTAGTACTCTGACTCCAAGCACCCTGATTATCTCTTGAAAAAAACCACTTTGATTTTATTCTTGCTGAGGAATAGTTCTCAGATTCTCAGACACACTTATAATCTTGCAACTTTAAGGAATCTTCTGCTGTTTGTTTCCTCACCATTATTTACAGTGCTAAAATAGTATATACCATTTTTACTCTTTTAAAATCATACATCAGATTGTGCCAAAGAACACAAAACGCTGTTGCGGATGAGAATCTCCCTTCTGAAATTCAATTCTGGCCTCTCTTTTACCCACTTCAGAGCAAGTCCATAGCCCATCTCTCTTCTTCCAATTCAACACAGTAACAGGCAGATTTAATGCCTGAGGTAGGTCAGTCCTTGGTAGGTGCAGTAGGAAGCAGGGTAGGTGCAGACCTTGGCAGCCAAGCACAAAAACTTGCCCTGACCTGGAAGCTGATGCATCGTGCAGTTTGTCTGCACTAGCCTGCCCCACTCAGTGTGGTGACTGCTGCCCACAGACTGCCCCTAGGTCAAGCAAGTTCAGTCCTGGGTGTGCTGCAAACCACGTGTTTTGATGTCATACAAGCACACATTATTTATTCAGCCCTTCAAGGGGAAAAAGATGCAGCCCTAAAAAGCTACAAGGGTCTCCCACTGTAAAGGAGAAACAACAAAGTAGCAGTGCTTAAACACAGGAGACAGTGAACAACCAAAAAAAGGCAATACACAGCATGAATACCCTTAGAAACTGAGTTTCACTGCAGGAGGCAAGAGAAAGCGAGGTGGGACATGCTGAAGGGAACAGAGACTGAGCCTGGAGAGCCCTCTGTTTGCCCCTTCGGAACAGAGTGTCTGTGCCTGTGTTGTGCCCTGCACCCCCTAGTCTCCAGCCCCGAGCTGTACCTGTAGAGGTCGCAGGCCTGCCCGTAGCCAGCAGCCACAGCCCACAGCCGGAAGGCTTCGGTGCTCAGCCTCACGGCCTCCTCCTTCGGCAGGGGCAGATCCAGAGGGTCTTCAGCGATAAAGCGACTTAACCGACTCTTCATTTCAAATTTGTTCAGCTGTAAAACAAGCCAAGGATGAAGAAAAGGATGAAGAACAAAAAAGACAAAGGGATAAGGGGCACTGGCTGCACACATCATTACCCCGTTGCTCTGACACGCACAAAGAGCTGCAGATTTCAATTCAGCTCATTCTGAGCTCTTCTTGCACTGCTCAAATCTGCTTTTATTTTGTGCAATCTTAAGGAGCAGACTACAAAGGATTGCTAAATGGTCAATGGCCACTTCTTAAGAGAGAAGTATTCATTGAAGGGATGCCAGGGGGTACCTAATCCATTCCTAACACAAACCAACTACACCTGAATAATTTCTCATTGAGGTTTGTCTGCCCCACACATACTCCTGTGTTGGACGTTCTCTGCAGCATTTAACTGATTTTTTTTTAAAAAATATATAATTATCCTTCTTTAAATAGTCATAAATACAACTCTCTTAGTCAAGCTTACATGTAAAGACACATTTTGTGAAAAAAGATGTCCAAAAAAGTACTGAACTGATGCTGACATTCTTTCAAGGAGGTCACACTAGATGTGTTTCAGAGGTTCTACAACCTAAGTCTTTCTATAATTCAGTGTTTATTTTATGCAAAGGGTACCTCCTGCCTATTACTTTCATAAGGTTATAGAATTCTGATGCCTTGGAAATGTTCTGAGGTTATTTTGGTATTGAATTAAGCATGACATGACTCATTTTCAGTTCTCTAGAAATAATTTTTATCCTCCCCTACATCTGGGTATTTTTACTTAACCATAAAAAAGAGCTTCTCTTTCCTTCTCCCACACATACAAAAGCTTCTATGTGCTCTGTCTAAACAAATGAGGCAACAATGTCTTTTTCACAGCACAAGGACATATTATAGGTAATTTAAATTTCAAATGCTTTAGAGACATCTTGTAGGGAAATCAATGCACACCAGCAAGAAAGCAAAGGAGCTGATGAGTCAAAACTATAAATTCTGACACCTCTCCTACAGAACAGAGAACAAAGTCAAATTTACTTCCAGGAGGAAGATGGAAGAACTTTGTTGTTAGCTAAAATAAATTCCTACATTGATGGTTTTGATTTAGTTTTTTATTATCTTCCACTTCCACATTTAAACACATGTAACAGAACATATGAGAGTGTACAAGCAGCAAAGCCTGAGTGTCAGGAACCTTCTAAGCAATTTTTGCATGCCTTGAAATACCTGGACTTCACAAAGCCTGAAGTAGAAAAATATCTGAATTTTACCCTGCTATGTTCCTAGTACCACGTACAATCTTTAAATATCCCACTATCCACCATTGTTCTCTATATTTTACAGCAGACTGGTGTTCTGTTGACAGTAGCAATTTCCTGGGTAGCAATTTGTTAGGTGCTGTTAACAATAGCAAACCAAAAAGCCTAAGTAATGCTCTTTACACTGTAATGGGTGCTGCTCTTGGTAGATTTCAGCATTTATAGCACCAGCATGACAACCTATATGAGGGAATGCAATTATCTCTGAAGTGAAAAACCTGTCTAGAAGTTAAGAGGAGTTGAAAACACTGATGAATTATCACAGTTATTAAGACAAACTAATGGCAGAAAAGTTCAACCAGGGCTGTAGAACACAAAGATACTGATTATGCCTCTGGTTTATACAGTCTTATGCTGCTTTTCCCTGAAACATGGGATGAAACATCAGTGCATGCTCTGCTCCTGGTCAGTATCACCCTGCTGGGCTCTGTGACTTTCACATGAGTGGACTACACAAACCATAAAAAAGCAGAGTAAAGCCTGAGACAGCTTATCTACCATTATGCAGGAAAAGCATCATTATTATGACGCTGTCAACAATTCCTTCAAAACACACTAATGCACCTTCCTCATCCTGGTTTCCTCAGCTTCAGCTCACAGTCCCCTCCATTTAGCTTTCTCTATTTAGAAAGTAAGGCATAGAGAACAAAGGCCTTTGCAATCAGAAAAGCTCCTCTAGGAACCACTCACCAGCCTGGCTGTTGCATTTCGGCCTCCAGATGCCAACACCCTGATGAACTTCATAGCAGACATGCAGAACAGACAAGTTTGTCTGATCTCCTTGCCATTAACTCCATCTGGTCTTTCTTCCCCTTTCCAAATCTTCCTCTGTTGTTCCCAAGCTCCTAAACAGTGGGAGATTTACCTGGCTGCACGCTTCAGAGGAGTGCCTTGCTATATGGGTGAGGATGTGCAGTACATCCAGGACTACTGTTGGAACAGGTCGTACCACCTCTAAGATGTACCTCAGCCGGTGCTGGATCCTTGTCTTCAAAAGTCCCTGAAAAATGTCAAAAATGATAAAAAAAAAAAAAATCTGTTAGGGTAGAAACAAGTTTTCTATGTACTTCAGTTGCCAGAAGACAAAAGGAGATTACATCTTCTTCAGAGGCTCTTTTAAAGTTAGCAGTCATGAAACAAGTAAGTTTCTGTGTATTTGCAAGTATGTTGGCAAATGAGGAAGAGCTATCTGAACAGAGCAGAAACAACTTTAGTTCTGTTCTGAATGAGAACATTGAAGGGGTTTGGGTACTTGTGTTTTCCAGAGTATAAAATTCTAAGTGACAGGGAAATAACCTTCCCTGTAAAAGACTGTTAAAATCTACTGCTGGTGAAGAAGGTTCTCGTAGTCCTTGAATAATTTTGGCTAGACACCACCTCCAGCTAATGCAGCACTCTGTCTGAGAGTACCTGTCATGTCAGAGAAAGTTGACAAAAACAGAAAAAAGACATAAATTCCTATTTTGCAGTAAGAAAAGAGATCCATAGGGATGATGTGATATTTTTTTTTTTAATGATCAGTGGTGGTGCCAGGAAACAAATCATCAATTTACATGACAGTGTGATGCATTCCTGGTTCTGGGAAAAGGCAAATCTGTAATACCTGAGTTCATATTACTGATACTTTTAAAAACTTGCAGCCAAGCAAGTTGTAGTTCTAGGTCTGACCAAGTTCAGCAGCTAGTTTAAATACTCCTTTTCCAACTGTGTGGAACAATTGGGTCATAAGGGCCAATAAGCGAGTGTGAAATGGAACTGCACAACAATGGAAACAGAGGGGAATTTTATCCCAAATACCTTCTGAGTTCAGGCCACTCAGAACAAGCTGAATTATGCTGAACCATGACACAGTTTACAGAATCACAAACTGATCTCCTGTCTAGCTATCATTCTTTTGTTATGATTTTTAAGCAGTGCCACACACCTAGCAGAACACATCTGCAATCATGAAGCCTCTAAACAAGACCACATGCCCAAGTACAGTAATTCCGTCACCCAATGATGCTTTTAGACCAAGTGCTGTTCAAACACAAGCTCAAGGATTAAGTGATGTGATCACAGGTTTTAAGGATTGCAGCAGGCAAGAGGGGTGCACTGCCTCTACCAAGGCTGAATTTGAGATAACAAATAGGATTAGGTTTAAAATGTGGAAGGAATTTCTTCTGAACATTGTAAAAACCTTAATCTGAGAAATGCAAACATGACATTTGGGAAAACAGTAAATAGCCACCTTATGTCAAATAAACAAAGAGTTTCACTTTACAAATCTACTAGTTCTGAACTATCTAGCTGTAATATTGTTTAACTTTTAAAAAGTGCATATACACGTTTTAGTAATGGCTGGAATCTATTCATTTTTCATTCAAGTAAGTGAGACTCAAAGTCCTGGCAATATATGACAGAAACACAACAACCAACAGTGGAAAGAATTCTAATTCTTGTTCAAAATGTTCTTGTCCAGCATGCACAGGAGGATAGATGTTTCAACAGCACACAAAGCACTGTGCTGAGCCTATTTTCCTAAAAAGATTCTGGGTCCAACTCTGTGCTTACTTTTACAACATCATATCGGGCCACATCTGGGTCTGGCTTGTTTTCATCCTTTAATTTTTTATCCTGAGATTTCTCTGTTCCATTTAACTCTTCCTCTTCCTCTTCTTCTTCCTCCTCATTGTTAGGGACAAAGGGGAATGCAGCCATCCCTTGGTACCATGAGAAAGTCCAGTCAAGATATTTCTGTAAGGAGTGTTAAAGCATATAGGAATAAAATTCTCATAAAGAAAGACAAAAAGACTAAGACATACACTTTTTGAGGATGCTTTTGAATACAGAATGCTTTACTGATTCCTATACAATCCCAAGAACACGTGAAGACAATAAAAGCTGTCCTAAACAAGCTTTTTCAGGGAAATTATATTGGCCTGACACACACACAGACTTGGAAAAATCATTAAAAACCATTCACATCACATTACTGTGATGTGAATTAAATTGACTATCCAGCTAGCATAAATTTAGTTTAACTGGAAAAAAATTAGGATTATAAATAAGTAAATACATAAATAAAACAACCACCAAGGCTCTAGGCATTAAATGGAAATTTGGTATTTATCGGCCTCCTATTTTAGGATCTGTGTGGAACTTAGGTCACAAATAACACAGAAAGATCATGAAAAAATTGATAAGATAAAATAAAGACTGCTTAATCTATTTGTTCATGCTTGCTTCACTTTTGTTTGAACATCCCTCAGATTAAGCAAATAGAATAACCTCTTTTTTTGTTCACAGCTGATGACAGTGTCAGGTACTCTCAAGTTTTAGGGTAATAGCTTAACTAGGGTAATAGCTTCAATTCTTCAGAGAGAGGATTGCTCCCATAACACATCTACTTCCCCCAAAATGTTTTAGAATATGAAAGACAGCCAAATCAAATGCTTGTACTGCTTAATAACTGCTATAATTTTCTATTTCCTGCACCCACAACCAGAAACAAACATCACATTAGTCAGAAAAGTAGTAGTAGATTTCAACTGCCAAGTACCAAGGAAGCACAAGCTATTATCAGACATTTTAAAAAAAAACCCAATGCAATATGAACTAAAGATGGTCAGTGAATGGCATGGTCAGGAGAGGCCTGACTTGAGGGGATGAAGCCACGAGTCCATCTGGAATACAGAGTTTGGGACTATTCCACCAACAGAATGAAAAGCATTAAGACAAAGTAGCTGGGTCATCAAAGAAAACAAAAAGAAAGTTGCTTCCTTCCCATAGCCATTGAAGGATGAACAAGGCCTTCAGACAGCATGATTTTTATGGGTGCTGATCTTCTGTGTTTATAGTGTGGATAAACCCTATTCGTCCTACAAATCCTGGAGCAGAAGGCCAGGCTTCCAACCCTGTCCCTTTCTCAGACACCTTCTGAAATTCAGCAACATGATACTCTAGGAAGGACTCTTTGGGTGAGAAAATATACTGACACAGCACTCACAGTGCTGCTTCTGGCAGCAAAAGTCAGCAATCCCTGCTTACACAAGACATCACACCATAAGCTTCCACCTGAAAAATCAGAGCACTGCAGACTTTATAAAGCAGAGTAACACCAGAAGAAAGAAAAAGTACATTAAGAAGCTGATTCACAGTACTAATTACCTACAATGGGTGGGCAGGACTCATCTAGCAGAATTCCATTAGACTCATGGATGGAAAAGTAGCAAAATGTGGAGAAATCTACCTACTCCTTCATTTCTCTTGCCTCCCACTAGGGATAGCTCTACAGGCCTGGTAGAAGTTGCAGGGGACTTATAATCCATTTTTTCTATCACCAGGCCCTTTGCAGTCAAACAGAAAAGCAGCTCTCAAGGAAGGAACTTGTAACACAGTCTACAGCATGCTCTGCCTAAAACTGACTGCTTCTGCCCAACCAGGAGTACATCATAATTTGGCTGCTCTAGGCTGACTAGTAGTCCTAAAAATCTAAAAAGTCTCAACCTTCTAACAGGTGAAAAAGCACCAATGAGAAAATAAGCACATGAATAGGCAAAATTAGGTATGTGTCAGTGTTAGAAAAACACATTGGAACAAGCAGAAAATGGACAATGAGAGAAAAAGAAAACGGCATTATTATGAGGCATAAGGGAAAGCACGGAGAAAGAAGCAGAAAAAACATGAAACCATGAAATAAGAAAAAAACATAAGATGATAGATTAAAAAAATAAATTCTACATTAGTAGTGGCCTGATCTAGATTGCAAAGATATCAAAAGAAGAAGAAACTCAGGAATATGAACTGAATTTAATCACAGGACAGAGCTAATTCAAACTAGAGGATAAAAAGATACCTGAATCTCTCAAACAGGGATAACACACTCCATTGTCTGTCTCAAAGCACAGCAATGACATTGTATTCACCATTAAGCTAATAAATCCAGTAAACCTTTGTTCAAGCTACTTACTATGTCTTCTCATTCTGATCCCTGTAAGCAGCTCAGCATGAAATCAAACCCAGGCCCAGAATGATTATCTTACCTCATCATCAAGTGACACCAGCAGAGCCCGCAGAGCACCAACAGATGCTGCCATGACATTTTCCACTGCATCATCCAGCGAGAAGCGCAGCAAGAAGAGAAAGCCAGCATCAAGCAGCAGACGCAGAATGCTGCCCTTCAATGAGGAAGCAAACTCTCCAGCCCTGGCCTGGAAAGTGCCAGACAGAGCCAGGGTTAAGGCTGTCTCACCTCAGCTGGATATATCTTTGGGCTGTCACATCTCAACATTTTGCATCTTTGCCTCTTTCCATTTCTAATGTAAAGCTACTAAACTGTGTGGAGGTTATTCTTCCTTTATTTTATCCTCCATTCATTCTACAGAAGAACACAACTACAGTTCCTTAGTGCAAGAAAACCTTCTTTCTAAAGTCTGCACTCATTTTTTCACTTCATCTTGTTCTGCCCCATCACCCTTCGCAAAACCACCATGTTTCTTCTTCTCTGTTCAATTAGGGGGAATGTTAGCACTTCCCCCAAAAGTTAGGTGGAAATGTGCACAGAAGTATTCATTTTGCTTTCTCCTCTTGGCACATTGCTCTATGAGTAGGCTTAGCTCTTTCTCACCTCCTACAGAAAATGCACATCATGAAGCTGGCTCAGACAACAGGAGTGAAAGGGTCAATGCCAAGAATAGGTTTGTCACAAAAGTAACATTAAAAAAAAATCAACTTGCATCCAAATTAATGAGAACTGAAATTGCACCACTGCCGCTGAGCAGCACTTGAAATAACCTGTTGAAAGAATAATACTCAACAACCATCCAGAGAAATCTCAGTTTGTTATATCCTAACACTTATCTAACAGTAAGGATCCTCAGTGGAACAGAATGCCCTTTGACTTTTTTTTAACTTGACCCTTTGCCCATGGTGACTTTGCTCATCTTCACTGAACAGCAGAAAAGAAACTACTACCAGAGAATCTGGGCCCTGATCCACCAGAAACTTGAATTATGGGGAGAAATTCCATAGAGTGACTTACCCTTTGAACAATACGACCTAATACCTGTAGAGCCAGCGTCCTCTGCTGTGTCACTTGGCTGCGAGAAAGATGAAAGAGCTCTTGCAAAGAATAACCAGCTCTCTAAATGGCAGGGGGAAAGAAAACAAACAAACCGAAAACACCCTCAGCTATGGCTGAAAACAGGCCCCTGAAAATAAGATTACTTGTAACATACTGTGTAACAAGATAAATTGCAAGCCAATGTTATTTGCCACTTTGTGGCAATTGCAGATGCTTCTAATCTTAGATGGCACAGGAGAAAATTTACCTTCTTATGCAAAGGAAGCATGTGCACCTTTTTCCAACACCACAGAGCGTTAACAGCATTAAAGAGAAAAAGCACCACCAGTTTTCAGGAAGTAAGGGAGTTCGTGCATGCAGACACAACTTGTCTTCAGGAGTTTGTTTCTAAAGAAAAATTACTGCACTTTTTAAAGGGTTTTTCGGTCACTAAAAAGCTTGACACAAAAAGAACCTACCAAATCAAACACAGGAAACAGAAATGTGTGTACTTTTTCTATTATATTACACCCACCTACCTCTGCCTCTTCTCCATGGTGGTGCAAGCCTAGATGTGTTGGCAAATCAGCATCTGCAGGAATCAATTCTCCTTTTAAACTGAATCGAGCTTGCATCCCCTAGAGCAAAAGGGTGGAGGGAGAAAACTATTATTTTTTTTGCTGTCCACTCAATTCATCCCTTAAAATAACACTTTTTACATCACCTGCCGGAAGATGACAGTTCAAAAACTCCTCAGGCCTCAAACTCTTTAAAAAAAAAATACTCCTATCTTTCCTTTTTTCTCAGTTTTACACCTGTTTCATCCCAGATTACAATGGCTAGACTCTCACTTCCTAGCTCTCTTGAGTGCTACAGACTGAACTGATCCTGTATCATCCCATCCTGTCAAAAGAAATGGGGAATCTTTAAACCTGATGAAGTCCCACAGACTGAGTAGCCAGAGGACTTGTTTTTGAAGCCTTCAAAACTGTTACTGCTGAGAAGCATTATATAGACACAAACATGCAAAGCATCAGTTTCTGCTTTCAAACCTTTTTGGTTTTCCTCTGCCGAGGTGAGGGCAAATCTTTCATCCATTCCAGCTTCTCAAACTCTACGTTGTCCATGTGAATCCACTCCTTCCTGGGCTTCACAGGTAGATCATCATCTTTGTGTGAAGAGAAAGAAATGTCAATCTTACCTTCCAGGGCAGCTATGAAGGAAATACTATTTTTTCTTTGCCAAGCTACTTGGCTTAAAGACTGTATCAAATATAAAATTATGTAAAATAAAAACAATTTTCAAACTGACTGTTGTCTGATGCATAAACCTCAAAGGTTTAAAGCTATTTTCATCTTTTGTGAGAGCAAGAAGAGGAAGTAAACAGCATTGTAATGAAATTCAGACAAGGCTAATTTAGGAGAAGTTGAACAGAAGGCAAAATTATCAGAACCAGTACAGAAAAAATATTATCAGCTTTACTTTTGAGAAAGCAAACTAACAGCATCCAAGGAGAGAGTGTTAGGGGGAACATGAAATTGAAAAGTATTAACATAAGAGTCCCAGCAAATTATCCCAGTAAGATTTTAGCCTTGATACGCTGAAGGTGGCACAATATTTGTGCTTTGGTTGCATTTGTGATGCTGCTCTTCAGCATCCCTCCCTAAAGGCTTGAGGAGATCAGCTTGGGAAGAAAATATCAAAACAGCTGAAAATTTGCACAGCTTTCCAGAGACAGCTCAGTGGGGAAACTGGACAGTTGAACAAGAATTTCAAAGGTGCAAGTACTAAACGAAGGAATTACTAATTTAATTTTAAAAAGAGCTTTGACTACGAGAATTTGAGAAACAAGACATTTGTGCCTCACATCACAAGAGTTGCCCTAGGAAAGAGACACATCAGCATGTGGAAGAATCTTACAAGGTAAGGGACCAGAGATATAACCAGGAAAGTTAAATCTTTGCTACTAGGATACTACCCCAAACCAGAACGAGATGAGCTAAGAAATCTTTACTATGTCAAAAGAAAGCACATGCAAGGACGGTAACAGGCAGTCTAAGGGCATGGAAAGCATTTGCATCACTCCTGCTGGAGCAGCCCAGAACTCATCTGCATTGCAGCTATTAATCCTAGTACTCTGGTCTTCTCTTGCAAGGAACAAGTCCCACTGAGATGCTCTTCTTTCATCAGATCTTTTCCTGCTGATAACTGGCCTGAAACCTAACCTTTTAGTTTCTTCTAATTAGCAGATAAACTTTCAAGAAGGGCACTCATCCTCTCCAGAAAGAAGCTTCACCCTTATGATCAACGTGGTACTGAATCAGGCAAGGAACCAAGCACAGAGTTATCTCACTCAGCCAGAAAGCTGTTCTGCAGAATTTCAGCCAAAGGCTCAGCATGTATTTTAATTGAAGGAAGGAAAAAGCATCTGAAATGTACGCAAGTAGAATGTTTGTGGGTGGTAGATGCAACATGAGAGGAAATAAAATCAGTAGAAAAACAAAATATATGGACATTTGTAATTTAACAAAATGTTTTCTCTCTATTAATCACCAAATTGACAGGGTTGAGCTAATCATTCTTTGAAAAAGATTAAGCATGTTATTAGCAGCCCTTAGTACAATGATGGTGTCAACAAGAAAAGATGGATATATATTTCAAGGTATCAGCAGACTGGTACTGATAAATCCTTTTACAGAAGCACAAGCTGGCAGCGTGAACACAACATTTGCACTGAACTTTTTCAGACCTGGGTTACATTAAAGGCTACCACTCAACCTCTTCACTTTTTGCTTTGCTTCCCTTTTTTTCTCAGTGACAGAATTAACTTTTCCATTTGATAAGGTTACAAGTTGCTGGATAAAGGTTTCACCATCTTGTTTCTAATAAACAGTAGCCTTTTATGTCATTAGAGAGGCAGGTTTGACTTTTGAGCAATCTTACTGCTTTGTCTCATCACCGGAAATTCAGCACAACCATTTCTGCTGGGCTATTCGCTTCTTTACTTCTGCCTTTACTTCTGAGTATAAACAGATGCTAAAATTCCAACAGTAAGTGCTAATGTCAAATTAATTTTTACATCTCCTATTGGCCAAGATGGGCTGCAGGCACAAACTAAGAAAACTAGAAAAGCTTCCCTTGCTTTTTTAACTGTGTTTCAGTTCACCTTTTCTTTGTTGTTTCAAATATCCTGGGAAAATTCCTCTTTTCTTCTGTGCTGTCTTCTATAGAATGCAAAAGATGTCAGCACACAATGTTTTAAACACTGATTTATTCCCAAGAGCATTACTATTATTACCATTACAAGCTGAGCAACACACTTCTATTGCTCCCAGGAGATGAAAAGATGCCACTTGACCTGGTGCTACTTGTACACTCACTTGTTTTCTGGGACTAAAAAGAACTAAAAATAGTCCTTCTGATTAAGATGGATTTGTGGAAAAGTAAAACTTGGGGAAAAACTGCAAAAGGACTGTTCAGTGAAGTGTCTTCCTCAAAAAGAGGCTGAGCTTTACTTCTCCTGCACATGTACACACATATATACACTGACAGACTCATCCCTCTCAGCAATAAAATGGTAAATGCTTGCTATCTCTTGCAAACATCAAGCTGAAATCCCAAAGTGATTCAGAGACTTCTTTAATCAGTCTCCAGGTTACAATGGAACACAAAGGATGCATTAGAAAAGAGGATCAGGAGATGGAGAAAGGCAAAAATTGACACGAAATTGTAAGACAAGTATGTTAGGAACAAAAATGTGGAGAAAATTACAACAGAAGCTTAAAAATCACAACAGAGAAAAAGAAATTGCTAAAGAAAAAATGCAGTGAGGAAAGCAACAATAAGAGCAGGAACCTAAAGGTAAAACTCTTCCTTTCTCTGCTTTAAGAATGTGTGGAGTTGCTCTAGCTATTTGAGATACAGCAACTTTCTCCTCATACAGGCAAACATTGAGCATTAAAGTGTTCTGTCATAAGAGGCAATAGCTCTGTAGCGCTTCACAAAAAGCAGGACATTCTACACCTTAATACTTCCCCCTCCATCCAAAGCACAAAGAAAGTAACTCTATCCTGTGAAAATCCCTGGGTGGGTTCTGAGATACAAGACACAGAGTGGGGCCATCAGGAGCAGTGTCATGCTGAGACATGTATGCACAATTTCCCTGAGGGAGAGTTATTGCCATCTCTGTGCTATCCTGTGAACAAATTGCTAACCTTTACCTACCCAACACTGTCTTGTCCTCAACCAGTACCAGCTAAAAGAAGTTATTCAGGCACCAGCTGAATCTCTCTACTACACTCTTCTGTTTCCTTGTTCACATGACTGAACAGAAGAGCAATGATGCCTAGTTTAACACACATTTTCCCTTCAGAGGCCTTAGAAAAAATTTCAGAAAGCAAAACCTCCCAATGAACAGGTCATTTCCATTACATAGTGTACCACCCTTCTAATCTGTGAAGCCCATCTAGAGATGTTCTTTTTTGAAACCAAAATACGCATTTTTTAAATATCACATAAAATTCAGATTTGGATCACTACAAAGTAGCCCAACAATCCAATGTAGATTGATGTAAACACCATACAAATCTTACATTTCTGTTCAGAAAATTAACAACAAGCACTTTGTTTCTTACCCATGATTTCTACCTTCGTATTTTCTTCCTTTCTTACATGTTCTTCCATATCTGACTCCTGCATGGAAAGAGATGATCTTACACCATGCTGCGCCACAGGCAGAGATTCCAAAAACTCCTCCGGTCTGTTCAGTTCCATTTTTAATTCCTTTTTCTGGCCTTCATTGTTACCACGTTGTGATTTCAAGAAAGCAACTAAACTGGGATCTGCAAGTATTGACAAAGAGACAGACAGAGACGTGACAGAAAGTCTCAAAATACTTCATTTGCCTATAGCTCCTGCTATTTATGTTTCAGTCTTTTCTACATGTCCTCTTCCTCTTACCAGCTGTCACTTCTCTTCAAAGTGAGGCACTCCACTTTATGACCTCTTAGGCACATAAAATGTGGGAGTAACTGACTGGTGAGGAGACACCAGAGACAGAACTGACAAATGTCTTTCAGGGTAAAGCAACCACGAAAACTCTGTTTTCCCAGCTTACAAATAAAGATAATTGCTTCTTTTTCCCCCACTGTCACTCGAATGGGACATCTAAACAAAACTATTCACTGTGGAGAGAATTCTGGTCTGCAGTCCCTACTCAGTGGCATCAATCTGAACACGACAAAAATACACCACAGACACCTCAAAAATAATTACCTGATCTTTATTGAATTGCAGTAGAACTGCAAGTCATAGCTCAGATATTATGTTACAAGGTGACCTTTGATCTGAACTGACTCCCCATTCCAATTATGGTCTGACAACACCCAGAAGAAAGACACAGCCATTCTGTTCATGCTTTGAAGAGAAACATTTGGGAGGTAGATACATTTTGAAGAATACATTATGTTCATATGGCTCTAAGATCATCATTTTACTTTCAGATCTGCTACAGATACGCCACATAATTTTGGATGGAGTGCACTGTCTCTGAATACTCTTCTCTAGAAGATGGTGTTGGGTTATGCCAGAGGTGAACAGTGAGAGATTGTGCATTGTGCCTCAACAAGGTACAGGAATACTCCAGTAAGCAGTGTCAGAGATATATAAAGTAGATCATAACACCTACAGTGGTTATTTATTCTTTGGAGGACAAAGGAAAGGCAGCTGAGAAATGCTCTGTACCTGAGATAAGTCATCTCAAAAATGACTCCCATGTCTCTGAAACATCTATCCCACACTCATGATTGCTGCACATTCTCCTCAATGATGCAGTTTAAACTGTCCTTGGTGAAGAGCAGGTATTCAGCCCAGTCTCATTAAAGTATTTCTATTTTCTCTGAATGCAAGCAGAGCTCTCACTTTCTTGCACTTCACTGTACACAGCAAGGAAAGACTGTATTCCTTATTTCATCATTTCACACAGTGACAAAAAAGTCACACATGTCAATCTGTGCATAGTATGTCAGAAACTAAGCTTACTTCTGTCCAGAGTCTCCATGAACAAAACCAGCACAGTACAAACAAGAAGACACTGCCCAGCACAGAACTGTGTACTCATTCTCATACTTCACACTGTGGAGCATCATCTGCTTCGTAACTAAGAAGTTCATTCAGGACTGGACAGCATTTAACATGCACAAATCAATCACACTCCTGAATATGGAGAAAAAGCCTCCTTAATTCACAGCTCTGTGTCTGTCCAGTTTCTAAATTCATTTCTAAGTCAGCAATTTAGTTTAGCATAATTCTCTACCCACAGATATTCCAGGAATTCCAAAATTACGCCCAGTTTCTTTAAAGCCTCAAAGGACTAAAATATCTACAATTGTAATCTATAAGGCATATAAAAAAATACATTGCTTTAGCAAATATTGTTCAAAAATACTTAAAATACATCCCATCCTTTTTAAATTCCCTGAGTATTCACTTTACTAATATCCCAAAGGACAGAGTGGTGGGGCCAAGGAGCAAAGATCACAAATCACAAGCAGCAAGTACGTAATCAGGGTATTTTTCATACATATGCCATTGTTACAAGCAATGAAGCCAAACAAAATACTCAGGTGTCTGAATGAAGGCTGTACCTAAACAATCTGGCTGCAATTATTTTTGTGTAGTTCCTTTGCCACCTTTTCAGTTACCCATTTTGTTTGCAATGAAGTCAAGATAATTAATATGATCTTTAAGCTGAACCCACAAGAGACTTATGCATCTAAAATGTTGCTCACATCTAAATTTGATGCTAGAGGACCTAAAATCATGAGAATTTAAAAAAATCCTTGTCTGCCACCTACATCTGTACATCTGCTCTTCCTGAGCATATAAATTCATCAAATCAAGGCCAACAAGTATTGCAGTGCCCCAAATCACACAAAGTCTTGTCAAACATACCACATTCAGTGTTCTCTACCTTGTCATCAGCTGCCAGCGATAGGCATTCCCAGGGCACCACTGTGGACAGGGGTCCAAACCAGAGACCAGACCCCTGCCAGAATATCCCCATACCCAACAGCCTGATCATTAAAACAGTTTTTCAAAAAGTCATGGCTAATTGCAAGTTTTTCTGCTCTATAAGTATAGGTTTGAAGTGAAATCTCCCACATGTCCATATGTTCTCCCTATCCGGGTACTGACAGTTCTGGCCTAAGTTTTAGGTATTTTGGAGGGGAAGACCAAGGGTTCTCTCTCACCTCAGCATTGCTATGACACTGCTTTCTTATCAGCTTCAGAGAATTATATTTTAGGGCATTAAACATTTATGTGCAACCACATATATGGAATGCAAGGCAATAAAGTGCACAGATCATCTTAACCCACAGCAGGGGGGTGACAAGAAAGACTTAAGCCAAACCAATCCTCACTGAAAATAAACACTTTAATTTCTTCACACTTAGTTCTTACTCATAAGCTACTGACATGACATGGAAGCAAGATTATCCACATATGGAATGAGCAGGAATTCCAAGTTCCTATCATTGACCGGTGAATTTGCTAAGACTTCAGGACACCTACACATTCAATAAATTGCCTCAATTCCAGAGCTGACCCTGGGAAACACATACCCAGCTGAGCCAGAAGCTTCGCCTGCTCCTGCAGGATCTCTTCTTCAGACATGGACTGCAGCTTCTCCAAGTTCTCTTTGTGAATAGCTTGAGCCTCCTGCTCACTCTTTTGGCTTCCAAGACCCTCTCCCGTTATGAGACAAGGACGCTGAGAGGTCAAAAAGTCACCATCTTTATCTATAAGAAGCAGTAGAGAAAGCAGTTAGCGGTCTGTGTCTACAGCATCATGAATAAATCGCAATTCTGTCATCAACAGGCTTGCATAATTTCTCCTTTTGTGGTTTTGGTTTTTTTTTTACCTTGGTAGTAAAGTTAGAATAGGAGTAAAGAAGTTCAGTTTAGCTTCAAACAAAACTAAAACATTTGTGCTTTCATCCCATGTCACAACAAACATGTTGACGTTCATTACCAGATTGTTTCTTTGGGAGCTTGAGGAGGAATGTCAGGGGAAAGGAATTACGTTTCTTTAATGTAAAGCAAGAGCACAAAAAGGTAAATTGGACCATAATTCACAACTGATGCATCAAAGCATTCTTCCAAGCTAGTGAATACTAGCTTCTTTTTTTCCCAAGAATGCCTGAATCCACATTCATATGTCAGCTGAACCATGACCTAGCAAATATCTGCTGAGTAAGACAGAAAATTTGACTAGGTAAACAAGCTTCCAGAGCGATACAGGATCAATTCCCAAACACAGGCGTGCTTGCTTCTAACAATGTCCTGTACTCACCTTCAAGGGTTAAACATATTAGAAGTTACAGCAAGGAGCATCCTTCCTATTCTGAAAAAAACTGAGTCCCCTTTATCATCTGATCTAAATCCATTTTAAATGTTCATTTGATTTAACCATAGCACCAGGTAACATGCTCCTTTGGTCAGTGTGAGACCCTCCAGCTCTCCTGTAACCCACTATACAAGGGCCTGACTTTGTGACTTTACTGCTTATGTTTTATTCCCATGCTCCATGGACTTGGACCATCCCTATGCCCCTAAATCAGCCAGCCCTGAAAGCATCAAATCCCTGTTTAAACAGCAGCAATGACTCTCAACATAACACCAGGAAGATTTGGTGTCACTTCCACAACTGTTTTGCATATTGAGCAGAAAGAGATAAGACAGGGTGACCTGGCAAAAGTTTCAGTAAGCTTCTCACCACCAGCAATTAAACCGAGGGTTACAATGGACAAGCATGTTGTTACTACAAAAAATTAAGCTCCTCCTCTTCTCTTGCTTCTAGTGATCCTGCCACAACAGTTTGGCTGAAGAGGCCAAGCCATTTTGTAATCTGTCATGCTATTACATTTTAGAAGCTTTCATGTTCAAAAGGATGACAGTTATAAGGCTGCTCTATTTCCTTTTCAGCTTTCTCAGACAGAATTATACATGTCCAATTGTAATAGGACATGCAGTAAACACAGTATAGTGAGCTGGATGGTGGATTTGTGCACACACAGCACAGCACACTTGGCAGTTCTCTAACCAATTCTCTGATGGGGGCAGGGCTGACACAAACCTTAGCCAAATGGTGATAATCTTCAAATGATGTCTGGTCTCTATTTCAATGTGAAAAAGAGGGTGTCAGGGCAAAACCCAGACACAGAGTGGTCCTAAGCAAACTGAACTGCCCCAGACAACACAAATGAAAAAAAGCCTGGAGATGTTGCTAACAGTTGGACTGGCTTCATCTTTCCTTGTCACGTTGCTGTCAGACAAGTAACTGCTGGAGGTGGCACTGACTCATCAGCACTGCCTTACAGCATTCCTGATGGTGCAAAGCCACAGTCTCATGGCAGCAGATCTGGTGATGGAAAACTGAGCTTTCAAACATTTCAGTAGGAGTGAGAACCCACATCACAGTGGTCTCAAATGCGTTCAACACAGAACTACCCTCTTCCTAAAATTGTGGAAATTGGTGATGAAACAAGGAAAAATTCACATATAACAAACAGAAAGGAAAAGAAGGAAAGAACCTGGAAAAATAAATCTACTTCCCTGTGTGAAGCAAAAAGGAAACCAGTGAGAAAGCTAACTCAATTTTTAGAACTCATCTCAGAATTTTCTCCTTAGAATTTTTAGTTTGCATCTCGGACCATTTCAAATCATTGCCACAATACAGACATTCCAGCTGACCTTGAGATTCCTATACTGAGGACAACAGTGCTACCCTAATTTAAAAATACGGTGCGCTGACGTTATGGTTAGTAAGGCTATGCAAATAGGTCGGCTGGCTAAGCAGAACCTTCTCCACTTACCATCCCTGATGCTGAAGAGAGGTGGCTCTCCCGCGGATCCCACAGGATCCAAGGCATCCGGAGCAGCTGATCTCACTTGCACGCACTCGGCAGCAGAGGGAGCTGTCGCTGCCTTTTCAGCAGCTCTTTTCGCTGCCATCTTCTGTGCAAAGATGCTTTTTCTTCCAGATCCCAGCTGCACCTGCAAACGGGGAAACCACGTGTCCGCTTTTTTCTCCAGTCTCCCTGCACACCTGCCACTAACAAATGTTCAGATCTGATCCTAAAGACACCCTCAGATCAGAGTTTGAGACATGATACAGGGAGGCTGCTGGCAGTCACCTGCCCTCTTCTGTGCATATGACTTTCTTAACACACAGTTTACTGCTATGATAGAGAGACAAAGACATGGATGTTTTTGGCACCTAGAGAAGGAAAATGATTAATTAAAAGCGAATTCAAGCAAGGAAAATACACCTAAAATGTCACCAAACACAATAGCTCCAGCTTTCCTGCTGTTTGGAAGCCCTGCATAGCTGAATCCTTGGATTTCTGAGTATAAATGGGGCTGTACTTCACTGCACTCACCACATGCTTGGAACAGGCTTCTTACAAGGTGAGTAGTGAGCAGCAGGGTGAAGTGATTTACACAGTAAGAAGTGGGCAAGTAGAGCTAAAATAATCCCAGCTAAATTACTGTGTTGCTTGCCTAGGTAATGAAGGGCATGGCTCTGAACAGCCTTGCACAGGGGATACACAGGAAATCCAAAGGAGACTAAGCAAAAATCTCTTGCACGTCCGCAGTCCAGAGAAGAAGCTTAAAAGGCAGTCTGAACATTTGGTAGGTGCTTTGTGCACTTCTGCATCAGTGCAAACAAAACTGGTAGTTTAAAAAATATTACTCTTGCCTTTCAAAAAAGCTGTCCTTCAAAATAAGCTACCTCCTCAAAGCAGCCACAGCTGTCAGTCACGTATCAATTCCCAGAATCTGACTCCCACTCAGCTAGCAGTTCTTGCTACTACAGCAACGACTGATAATAGCAACCACAGCTTCCAGTTTTACAGCCTCAGAAAAAAATTATGTCAAAATCAAAAAAGCTGCAAAAGATAACCCGAGCAACCATACTCAATGTTATGCCAGGAGAAATCAGGTGCAACTTTGATAAGAACCTGATGGACAAATTAACAGAGATTGCTCCTCAGAGAAAAACACTCAGAACAGGATCAATTCTATTACAGCATTGCAGATTTGATCCACCCTAGCTGAAGAAAGATAAACCAAGAAGATTCCAATGTTACTTAACTGCAGGGTCTGGAGTAGCTACTTGACGGCAGCTTGGTAAAAGAACTTTCTCCTTCACCCAGGTGGCAATGTCACAGACATGTTGAGCTAGTTCATAATCTCCAGCCTACCAAGTTGGTTATTCTGAGCCCTACCAAGCCCCACTAACCATTAGGCTTTAATGGGAGAAAGTTTAATTGTTAATGAAGGTAGCATAAAACATCTGCTCTTAATCTTACCTCACTTTTTATCTCAGAGCGGTGAAATGTCCTTGGAAAGGGGTCTCCCGTGGGCACTGGCATGGTCACTGCTTGTGCACTTGTATCTCGTTCCTGAAGAAAAACATTCAAACCCTGTAAAACCATTGTGACAGCCAGACATGTTTGTATCATTTAACTGAGAGCAGGCTCAGAATCTCTCAGCTCTGAAGTGCACATCACCATCAGGTCCAGCATGCCTTGTGCTTATTTAGAGACAAAGTGAGGCTCTTTTCCAAAAGACTGGGCTGCCAAACTCCACGCATCACTCAGAGAATTAGATAAAGGAAAACCTAGACCAGTGCAAAGCAAGGAGAACATCCCCAGCAGAGTCCAGAAACTCACCCAAATCCACACTACAGCACATGCCTGCATACAATCAGTGTGACCTGTAGGCAGTCAGGCATGGAAGGCAGATCTGAATCTATATTTAACTGAGAGCCAAAATACACCCAAAGAGCTTTTTACTTTCAAGATGCTACAGGAAACTGGTCTACAGTTCTGCTTCATTACACTGCACAAATAAAAAGCAGCCACAGAGCCCTTCATCCCTGCTTAGTTCACAGCATTCAAATAAACACTAGATAATCACACAAAAAACAGACATACAATAATTTTGCTGAAGACAGCTGTAATGTGTCGATCATGACTCTCCAATCTTTCCTCTGGATCTTCATCCTCAAAGTGGACACTAGCACTTTTGGACTTTTTTGGAGGAGCTGGAGTTAGAGTAGGGAGAGTATCAGGAAAACCTGAGGAGGGGAAGCAATAGGAAGAAAAAAAAGAATAGTCAAGTTATTGCTGTATAACAACTGTGCAATAGGTACCAGACCAAGGCCTACTAATAGCACCTTTTATTATTGTGATGAGAAATAAAAATAAGGAAGCAATAAGACAATTAAGAGTTCCCTGTCTCTAACTTCAAGTGTGTGGTGGAGAGAAACATGCTTGAAGATTCTATTTATGTACTGGCACAAGATCTTGTCAAAGAGCTCCATAAGCAGGGAAGGGTACTGAGGTCTGACTGCAAGTATTAAGGGAAGAAGCAAAGCTATACAGAAACAAATATTGTCCTTGCAGGTTGTGTTGAGGCATAAAAAAACACATTTCTGCTGAAAACTGTTTATAGTGAAGGATTTGTATGATCGTGAACAAACTCCTTTCCATCTACAACAAACATTATATTTTCTCTACCTGGTACAAAGTATCACAAAACATTTAAAAAAGCACCTTGTGCTTCTGAGATCAAGCACATGACAAAAGTGTTACAGCTACTATTGACAGAAAAAACAAAAGCAAGCCAGATCTGCTGGCTGAAAACTGAAGCTGCTAGGAGAGGTAAATCTCAAAGACACTGGGTCTGGATAGCTGGCAAAATAAGCAGTGAGTGTCCAAACAGTACAAATTACAGAAAACACCTCTTGCTGGCAAGGTAACACAGACAGCCGATAAATGTGGACTAAGGCACCAAAGGTGGTTTTACTGGATGCTAGTAACACTGGGTAAGCCAATTTCCCAGGCTAAGGAATAAATAATACTGCAAGAAGGGCACAAATGCAAGGGAAAAGCAACGTTGGGTTGAGAAACAGAGAGAATCTTAGTAACTCAAAGAAACAAACGAATTTACCATCCAACATGACCACATCTTTGCTGTCATCCTGTAGCGGTGGTCTCTCAGCATCTGTGCTCCCTTCCTTCCCTTTCCTCTTGTCTGCCTTCTTCACAATCTTCACTGCAGGACAAGCTCTGGCTGCCAGGAACTGGTTCTGGAAGCGCAGCAGGTCTGCCTCGGACTCCCCAGGCTTTGGTCTCGACAACATCCTGCCGTCTTGCTCTTGCAGCCCAGCCACACGTGCTTTTCACACAGGACTCGAACACATGGAAAACTGGTAACAGAACCGGATTTCCTGGAGACAGGATGGGGACAGCAAGGGAAAACTCATTTTTGTCCCACTCTTGTGTTTCTGTACATACTACAGATCCCCTACTTCAGGATCACCTAAACACAAACACTTAAATGGGAGTCCCACACGAATGAAAGTCTGTTCTTCATTGCTGAACAAAAGACTGCTCAACAAGCCTGCATGAGTTCTATCAGCCAGCTAGGAGCAGAATGGCATCCAGTCAGCAAAATACAGACAAAAAGAGCATCAGTATCAGAATGCATACAACATGGCCTGGGATTTACAAAGTCAGAGTAACATCTTGTCCAAGACAACAGATTTGACTTCCTCAATTATCAGCGTCAACCAAGAATCTCTGAGGCACAGCATCACAGAAACCTCCCCCTCCAGCATACCATCTTTTCCAGATCCCAGCATTAACATCCCTGGATGTTAATCTTGCATCTCTTGGATGCAAGAGACTGTCCACACAGATCTGGACAATACACTCCCTGACTCTGTTTGCTCTCCTTCTCACTCAGATCTCCCAAGTGAAAAATGTCTTTCCTCCTGATGTGGACCTCTTGTTTCCGTTCTCGTTCACTGGCCCCTTACTGGCAGAAGCTGTGCTATTTCCCAGCACATTTCTTCAGTTGCTGCCCAGGCCAGTTTGAGGTTGAGAAACAAGGTTAGATTTATACAGACTGTTTTACTCTGTGCACATGACAACTCACCAGGAAGACAACTACCGCACCTTCCATCTACCAGACAGGAAAATATTGGTCACATTTGCTCCCCACCTCTGATTCCCAGAGCCTGGGACCAGCAATCCATTTTTTACAGGCAGCAAGTACACTGTTTGAAAATACATGTCACTGTACTCCTAGCATAAGCACACACCTACTTGCTGTTTATTTATGGAGCTTGCTGCCACAACGGGGCTCCCACAGCCAGACTTCTCTTGCTTGGACCCTCTTTGATATCCATAAGGAGAGGAACACGTATCCCAAGCCAAGTGTTCCCTGCCCTGTCATCACAGGCTTCAAAGCCCAAAAGAGGAGGATGCCTGCTTTAACAGACACAAAACACACACTTGGAAGCAAAGGCTGCTGCTTAGCTCTCTGCAAGGAGCCTCCTCCACACACAGCTCTACATAAACTTGTCCAAGTCTCTCCCTACCAAAACACTTCAGATATACAGCACGCCTTCAAACTGCCTTTGTTTCTCTGGGAAACTGTCAGAAGCACAAGGAGACAACTAAGTAGCCATTCTTAATGACCTTGGACGTTCTTCCAGGAACCCTTTCCTCAAAGGCTTTGCCTCAATACACGTGGGAGCTGCAGACAGAACGAATGTAGGGAAAACACGCTGCTTTCTTCTCAGGCCACCTTTTCCCATGTCCCATGGAAGCCATCGCAGCACATCACCAACACCCCCTTGGCTGTCAGGAGTCCTCATTCCTACCCACCAGAGCTCAGAGCAAACACACAGGACAACTAACCAACTCCTGAGGATCAGCACTAACCCCAGGATCCTGCAGCCTGGCTCCCTCCAGCCTTGCAGCTCGCTGCTTAACAGCTCACCATTCACCATCTGTTTGACCAGAGGGACCACCAGCACAGGCAACACACTGAGATATTGTCCTAGGAACACAGGTGAGGGATCAGAAATGCTGTCCAAGGACTACGAGCACCTTTGCACTCCACAACATAGTGATTGCTGTGTGAATACACTATCATCTTACTTGATAAAATCCAACAAGACTTTTTAATTTCTTCTGGTTCATCTGCCTTTACAGTGCATTTTTCTTCCACAGCAGCAGAGTCCAACATGCAAAGGGAGACAGTAGCATCTTTGAACCAGATACAATCAGAAGAGAAATTATGTATATGTTGAAGCAAAAAAGTCATCTGTGACTGCTACTGTCATTTGTGAATCCTGGACAAAGCCTTTTTACCCATTCTCAACTCTAGAATTTTGCATTGTTTTGATAAAGTTATCAGATCTGGGTGAAAGAGGAATACAAGGTTGTCCTGTCACAATTAGAGCCTCAAATTAACCTCTTTCTTCAGACCTTGTTGGTTGTGGTAAGAATTTAAAAAGAGAAGCAAAGAGTCAAACGTCAGACTCTCCTGGGCAGCCCAGCAGCCAGTGGAAAAATGCAGTTTCCCCACCTGAGATCAGCAGGCAATGAAAGCCTCTCTTAGGATTATTGTCTCCTTTGCAAAATGGTGATGTGCATTCTCTGCTCTGTCACAAAAATACTTTCAGCACACAATGCTGTAATGGCCAACAGTCTTCTTGACACTTTTGCTTGCTACAGAGAAGGCAGACACGGGAAAGACTCCTCCCAAATGAAAAACCCCAGCCACAAGAGTCAACAGATGCAAGAAATTCTCCTCAAAGAAGCTCCACATCTCATGCTGGTCCCACAAGACTCAGTGACTGTGACTCTGCCTGTCGGCACACACACAACACCCTGCCGATAGAAACGCTGCTGTCCCAGCTTGTCGCGAGAGTCTCTGCAATAAACAGAAACCAGAATAGTGCAAAATAAAATGAAAAACAAGCTGCTATTAACACACTGAAAAGCTGCTGCGTCCCACCGTTCCCACCGCGTTCCCAGCCCTCAGGGATTTTCACAAACGACTCTGAATCAAGTCTTAAACAGGCGACGGAGACTCGGCCTGGAAAGGCCTCTCTGACGGGGGGCAGGGGGGGAGAGGGAGGCGCACAGCGGCAGAGATCCCGCAGCATCTCCCTGTGCGGCGGGCACGGCCACTGCACCGGGGGCCGCGCGGCGCCCGCAGCCGCGCTCCTCATTACACCAGGGTAAAGGCGAAGTGTTGGGCCCCTGCCGGCTACACCCTGCCGGCCACACGCGGGG